GTCTGTGTGTGTGTGTGTCTGTGTGTGTGTGTGTGTCTGTGTGATGGGATGATATGACTGGGGAGATTCATTAGGTTTGTGTCACTAAGTAAATGTATGTTGACCTGGGACACTGACAGACAGACACACTCCCCTGATACGATGCTACGAGCCAATCTTCTTCACACACACACACACACACACATATGCTGGGTGCTTCGGAGATCAAACCTGTCCACTCCTCACAATCCTCTTTTACCTTCCTCTATCTACTCACCTCTCACTCTCCATTGCTGCTGTCTCCACATCTCTTCTCCACCACCCCCAAACACACCCTCTCTCCTCTTTATCTACCCACCTCTCACTCTCCATCTATCCACCCCTTCCCCTCCCTCTCTTCCTATACCTGTCCCTCCTGACTTCTCCCTGTAACAACATTCCCCGGACTAATTGCAATTCTGTCAGCAGGTAAATGCTTTGTGACCAGTTGCTGACAGTCACGCCAGCCAGCCCCCAGGTTGCCGCTGACAGTCATTGTGGGGCAGACGGGACAGCCTCAGCGGTGTTGGCAGTCAGTTAGCAGGCAGTGTATATGGATGTGGCCTCTCAGCTGAATAGTGAGACTCCGACTGTCTGCTAGTGTGTGACACTCCCATTACCCCGCCACAGAAAAAGGTAGACAGCCACAGAACAGCTGGATAATGCACTGTCTGACTGACGATACACTCTACCTCTCACACACTCTGCTTCTCACCTCGTCTCCGGGCCCATGACAACGCCATCTTGATACTGTCAGGTTAGGAGCCAACCATTGTGACATGTGAGCACTCACACAGTTGACTCCTGATGTACAATATTAAAGCAAACGGAGGCTGGGTCGGGGGGAATGGGGATTGATGATGAATGATGGATTAGAGGAGATACCGGGGTAACACTCATATTTTTATACACAACTGCAACACCTGTCATGCTTGAATCCGTCAGTTACCATCAGTCAGAAGCCAGTGTGGTGCTTTTCTAACTGTGCAGGATATGGTTTTAGCAAACAGGACTTTGAATATAGAGTCAGCCCCAGCATAGCTCCTTGATGACCAGGCTCAGCTAATTAAAGCAGGCTGTTGACAGTTGTCAGCCTGACCCTTAGCACAGCGCTCCCCCGGGGGTCCTGTTAGCATGCTAATGCTAATCCCCAGTGACGGGGGACAGGGCAGGGCTGTCCCCTGCAGCCCCATGCTGTTGTGACCACAGGATGTGTCAGGACAGGCACAGTGATGTGCTAACATGGAGACGTCCCCATGTGCATGTCACACATCTGTAATTAGAAAAGAGGCAGGCAGCGGGAGGGCTGGAGGGGACAGTTGTTGTGGGACCACTTGATCTCTGTTCCCGACACGGCTGAGGAAAGAGCAGTCTGCGCCTAAGACGGGCTTATAAAAGAGCAACTGGTTTCACAGGCTTTAATGCGACGATTTGCCTCGTGTAAGCTTGCGAGGCATGTTTGAGATTTGACGTGAGCGGATTCACAGAGAAAAGAGCAACAGCAGGGCTACACAAAACATCACAAAGCAGTTAACATTACAACAGAGGGGGAAAGAGAGAGCGCTTTTACACCTGTCTGTCTGTCAGTCTGTCTGTCTCTCTCTCTCTCTCTCTCTNTCTCTTTTTCTTTCTCCCTGTAACAACATTCCCCGGACTAATTGCAATTCTGTCAGCAGGTAAATGCTTTGTGACCAGTTGCTGACAGTCACGCCAGCCAGCCCCCAGGTTGCCGCTGACAGTCATTGTGGGGCAGACGGGACAGCCTCAGCGGTGTTGGCAGTCAGTTAGCAGGCAGTGTATATGGATGTGGCCTCTCAGCTGAATAGTGAGACTCCGACTGTCTGCTAGTGTGTGACACTCCCATTACCCCGCCACAGAAAAAGGTAGACAGCCACAGAACAGCTGGATAATGCACTGTCTGACTGACGATACACTCTACCTCTCACACACTCTGCTTCTCACCTCGTCTCCGGGCCCATGACAACGCCATCTTGATACTGTCAGGTTAGGAGCCAACCATTGTGACATGTGAGCACTCACACAGTTGACTCCTGATGTACAATATTAAAGCAAACGGAGGCTGGGTCGGGGGGAATGGGGATTGATGATGAATGATGGATTAGAGGAGATACCGGGGTAACACTCATATTTTTATACACAACTGCAACACCTGTCATGCTTGAATCCGTCAGTTACCATCAGTCAGAAGCCAGTGTGGTGCTTTTCTAACTGTGCAGGATATGGTTTTAGCAAACAGGACTTTGAATATAGAGTCAGCCCCAGCATAGCTCCTTGATGACCAGGCTCAGCTAATTAAAGCAGGCTGTTGACAGTTGTCAGCCTGACCCTTAGCACAGCGCTCCCCCGGGGGTCCTGTTAGCATGCTAATGCTAATCCCCAGTGACGGGGGACAGGGCAGGGCTGTCCCCTGCAGCCCCATGCTGTTGTGACCACAGGATGTGTCAGGACAGGCACAGTGATGTGCTAACATGGAGACGTCCCCATGTGCATGTCACACATCTGTAATTAGAAAAGAGGCAGGCAGCGGGAGGGCTGGAGGGGACAGTTGTTGTGGGACCACTTGATCTCTGTTCCCGACACGGCTGAGGAAAGAGCAGTCTGCGCCTAAGACGGGCTTATAAAAGAGCAACTGGTTTCACAGGCTTTAATGCGACGATTTGCCTCGTGTAAGCTTGCGAGGCATGTTTGAGATTTGACGTGAGCGGATTCACAGAGAAAAGAGCAACAGCAGGGCTACACAAAACATCACAAAGCAGTTAACATTACAACAGAGGGGGAAAGAGAGAGCGCTTTTACACCTGTCTGTCTGTCAGTCTGTCTGTCTCTCTCTCTCTCTCTCTCTCTTCTCCTCTGCAAGGGAAGGTCAAGGACACATGCATATTCATGGAGAAGCCTGGCACAGGATCGATGGCTTTTAATTGTTTTCTCTTGGTTGGTGGAGAGACGTGCCAGTGTCTATTGATCTGTTTGAGCAGAGGCCACTCACAGAGCACGGCTGAGAGACCTTTACCTGACTGAACACCGATAGACTGTGTGTGTGTGTGTGTGTGTGTGTGTGTGTGTGTGTGTGTAGAGGGGCTGGGGAGTGTGTGGTGATTAGGATTTTGACACACACAAAACCACAGGCCTGCATGAAAAGGCCTCTTGGGGCTTAGAGGTAGATAGACATACACAAAGGTAACACACCACAGCAGAGACAAGGAAAACATAGCATAAGGTTTGCATGGTGGAGATTCGAATGATGCTGTGGCAAAATACCAAATGCATACTTTTATTTTAATCTTATACACAAGACACTTCTTGCATGATGTGCACAGGTGAGCAAAAAAGGGGGCAAACATTTGTGCAAAACATTATTACACATACATCATTTTCCAGTAGTGGAAAGTAACTACGTACATTTATTGCACTCACGTACATTTTTGAGTGTACATGAATTTTCCATCCTGAAGGAGTGCCTTGGGATTTTTATTTCCATGTCTGTCTGCACCAGTTGAAGAATTCCTGGATCTTATTTTTTATTTAAAGGAGCAGTGTGTCGATTTAGGGGGAATTAGTGGCATATAGCAGTGAGAACTGCAGATTGCAACCAGCAGGAAATTCTACTGGTTAGAATTCCTTCAGTGTGCATTGTGCAGAAGGTTTTTACCGGGAGCTAAATTTTGTGCTGAGGTCTCCTCCTCTCCAAAACAAACGGACCAAGTGATTTGAGCCAGTAAAAACACTGAATAAAGCAGTTTCATGTTACGAATCAGTATTTCTTCAATGCTGCTTGAGAAGAGGACGCTAGCTAGGCACCTGCCAATGTGTGCTCACCTTTTTTCTCTGATAATTTAGTGTGTGCTTACTCTTTTCTGATCCAGATATTTAGGAGGTTTTAACCAGGAGCCGAATTAGCCACAGAGGTCTCCTCCGCTCCAAAACAAACAGACCCGGTGATTTATACTGGTGAAAACACTGAATAAAGCAGTTTCACTTTACAAATCGGTGTTTGCTCGTTGCTGAGAGGCTGCCAGCCACGGTGGCTGATGCAGAAACACCAAAATTCAAAAACACAAATGGCCCAGATTTTAGCAGATTGCAGTGTACCACCTGCAGTTCTTGAGCAGAAACTTATTTATGTATTTATTGATGTAATCACAACATCTGCAAGCTTGCATGTGTGAACCATCCAAACAAAGGGAGGACCCACTCATAAAAGCTTTGCTCTACAGTGCTACCAGAGGTCAAAAACTCTACATCGTACCTTTAAGCAAAGAATCTGAATAATTATTCCACCACTAACTCTTCCATACATTGATAGTAAAGGCTCACTTATGGTTTCCGCATGGATGGTTGCAGGGCAATGACACTTTTGGATCTTTTATACTGCTGCGGTTTCTCCTAACAATAAATCAATATTCTCCCAAACTGTAGGCAGCAGTGTATCGAAGACTTACATCTACAGCTTGGTTCTACGCCCATCCATGTCCATGGAGTAGGAAAATGTCGAGGAAAACCCATCCCACAGGACCACCATTAAGAGCTATGGCTAGCCATGCAGACACTCGGGACCATCAAGGATGCGTCAAACATAAATTGAGCACGAGCCTTCAACAGAAATTGAGCTAAGTCAAATTTCTGGCATGTACCAAACACACACTTACACTGCTGTCCTCTGGCCAGGATAAGGGTGACAAATCTTCATCGTCTCATAGTGCATTCCTCTGACCACTTCTTTGTAGAATTTTCAAACAACAAGAACTTTGAATAACAATTCTTATTAAAACAGTTTCTCGATGCTTCACTGTGACTCTGTTTTCATGGAAAGACACATTTACATCTGCATGTTTACACTGTGAATAACAGATGAATGTGCTCACCTGTCTGTCTCCCAGTCAACCACATCTTTCCCCTTTGCAAAGATTATCCCCTTCAGAGGCCTCTTCTCTCTCTTTCATTTATTCCTTTGTAGCTGGTTGAATTTGTCAATTTGAACAGGCAAAGTTGAGAGATTGGCGGCAAGTGGGAAGCAAAAGGAGCGTGCACAGAGTGGAATAGAGAGGAAGAGCGAGAGAGAGAAAGATAAAAAGATTGTGACAGTCATCCATTTGACCCAGGCTGTTGAGTGAGAGCAGTCTGGCTTGTCAAATCTCTGTGCTAACAGTGAATAGCCATATCTGTGCAGAGCATAGAAGGGTGTCATGCACTATGGTTTCATGGTTCAGGATAAGGCTGGATAAAGCCATTGGCTGGATGACACACAGACAGACACTTTCACTTTCCCTCTAACTCCCTGTCTCTCGCTCCCTGTTACTGTCTTGACTTCAGAATGAGAACTTATTTCAATCACATCCGCCTGTTTATGTGGAAACTGACTATCAATGAAAACCCCTGCTGTATTTTAAAGAGAGGAAACTGTTTCTTGCTCAGAGATTAAACCTTGTACCCTCCGATTATTGAACAATGAGAGCCCTCCACCCCTGTCCTCCTCCTCCTCTCCCCACTACACTGTAATATCCTCCTCATTCACGCACACACACAGGACCTATTACCGGCTCATTAGCCTGAATCATACAAGAATTAGACTCCAGCCCGCTGACAATAGCTCCGAGAAAGGGCCTTTTTTCGCTCAGGAGTCAGGGGTTAAGTTACCAATCAAAATAGCCAGGCAGATGTATTGAGACATTTTAATATTGGCCATTGTGGGAGCTCTAAAAAATTTTAATCTCTCTGTGGCACGGCTGGCCCCCAAGGCAACTCAAATAACGGTCTTGAGGAGGGGGGGTTGGTGTTCAAAGAATTGATGTACCCTGTGGCATTTGGATAATTGTGTTGGAATTGCTGCCACCTTTGAACAGCTTTCAGGCTGAGCGCCCTTTCTTCATTTTACTTGTTTGCTTACCTGGACCACAGATTTTTCAGCTCACTCACCTTCAAATGTTGGATTTCCCTTTTTTCTTCAGGTCCCTGTCCAGCACCCCTTCCCCTTTAAATCCCTCGAACCCATCTGCTTCACATGAAAATCAAAGGGACAGTGCCTGCACTAGGAACCAATATACTAAGAGTGTTAACACAGTCTGTGCTGCTAACACAGTCTGTGTGTTAGGACTCTCCTGGACAAAGTGGGCCAGGTGTTGCTGCCATCCCACAGTTAATATAATGTAAACCACCAGAGGGGGCCAATGATGAGGACTGGGCCAGAGGATTCGGCTCCAATTCAACCAGACGCGTAAGTTCACAACACTCTTTTACATGTTTTACAACCTGAAAGCAGATTATTTCCATCTCACCTGTCAGATCTCCCTCCCGCCTCTTTATTTCCTCCTTCTTCTCCACATGGTATGGCCCTCCTCATCATCCACCCTCCCTCTCGGTGGTCCTGTCCTCTCCCAGGGTTCAGACTAATGACTAGTGACAGTCCACTGAGGGGAGCGAGCTGTTTGCAGTCAGCAGTGCGTTTGTTGGTAATTATTTTCCAGAGTGTCACATTAGTGTCAGCCTCGTGGCGGTGAGAGAGGAGAGAGGGCGGGGGCCCCGACTGGCTGGATGGGTGAGGCGTGGAGGGAGGGGAGGGAAAGGGTGTGATGTTTGGTGGTGGGCAGTGTTGTGCTTATGTGTGTATATGTGTGTAGACTGAAGTGTTGGGGGTGGGTTGAGGACACTGACTGTCACTGCACTTTACTCTTGGCCTCGTGGCTACATAAGACTAAAGATTAAGGTGAGCAGAAGAAAAGGGAAACAGTGAACACTTTTCTTACTTCTGCTCACTCCTGTTTCTGTCCTGAAAATATTTGTCTTAAAGGCACAAGTTGGAAATAGTTTTGTCCCCCTAGACAAAACTATTGTCCTAGAATTCCATGTTGTCCCGAAGCTATTATATGTTGTGCTGGATATCATGCTCCTTCATTATGACGAACATGGACGCTATAGTTGAGTCAGTCCCACATTCATTGTCCGTAAATATTCACATGCTGTTAAATGTGTCTTAATACAAAGCTGAAAATAGTCTCCTAGCAGCGGGGAGTGAGGCGGAGGAACCACAGGGTGTGCTAGCTAGTTTATTCTTGTGTCATTTGAGGTCTAATCAAAGGAGAGAGACAGAGAGACGCAGAGAAGCAAGAGCGGGGCAGGGAGGAACTGAGCAAATCAACGCTCTGCACACACCTCTACAATATAATATGTTTTACCCAGTTTAATCAGTGAAACCAATATGTGGTTAGTGTTGCAACATAATCACAGAAGACAGTGTTGGCGGTGTACGTTTCTGCAATCCACGTTTCACGTTATATTTTACATTATAGATGTACTTTTCATACGTATATACTGACTTTGTCATTGGGAGATTGAGGGGATGGTGGATGGCATGAATCCTGGATGAGACGGCTCCCAAGTGGCAGACCAACAAAAACAAAACCCTATGTTTTTCATTTTAATCAGGACACTGCAGCATTTCCAGCAGGGATTGTGGCACCAAACCTGGGTTTATTAAGCTAAAGCATGATCTGCTCCTAACCATAACCAAGAGTTTTTTGTGCCTAAACATAACCACATCTTAACCATTGAATATCTGCTCCATAGTAACTTACATATGTTACGTATCCGTGGTTTAAAGAAAACTTACAATGCCAACATTTATTCAGGCAATTGGGTGGAATGTTGCTGTTGTGGTGGGCCACCACAAATAAATGAATTTATGGGAAACACTGGACATTGGCGGGATCAATTACAAGTATATAGTTAGTAATAATGTAATTCATCGTTACAACATGAGGAATATAAAAACGAAGGTTTCCGCTTTTTTTAAAACTCTCTATGGTGGCCATTTTGGATTTTAAAAATAGCAAATGTTCATGTCAAGTTCCAAACTATGCAGGTGTTTACTTTTGTGGCTTAATATACATGTTATTTACTCAGACATTCAGATAAACTAAGAACAATCACTTGGATATGAATTGATTGCATTTGGTGGTCGTAGGTCAAAGGTCAAGGTCACTGAGCTATAGAAAAATACTATACAAAAATGTATAGTTTATAAACTCCCCAAGGATTTTGACTGAAGGTTGAAATTGGGACATTGTGAATCTGACTATATAGTATAATTGTGAAGTATGTCCTTAAATCACACAGCATGTGTTGTTTATTTCACAGTGCTGTGTTGGTGAAACTGTTTTCAGTTCAGGGAATTTAACTTCAGCACAAAGAGACAAAGTTGAGTACATGCAAACAGTATCGGCCCGCCGACACGGGTGTGCTGTGAATGTGTAAACATACAGGATACTCTGTGTGTGTGTGTGTGTGTGTGTGTGTGTGGTGAGGGGCAGTCACCAGCCCCCTTGGGAGGAAGCGATCAATGATTGAGACCATAATGCACCTCTCTGTATTCCTCCTCACATTCACGCTCGCTGGCTGCTTTGGGGAGCTGTCACACACACCCTCACACACACACACACACACACACACATACACACACATACAAGCACACACATACTTCCACTTTCCCTCATACGCACACACACATTGTCACATGTTCGACAGCTCATCTCTCACACGTTCCCTTCCACTCCATCTTGTAGCTGTCTGGTCGATGGCCTCTCTCTCTGTCTCACTTCCACTGTTCAGTCTTTGGCAGACTGCTCTGCTCTGGCGCTGTCTCTCCCTATGTTAATATAGTAGCTAACCTCTCTCTCCATAGCACTGCTACCAGACAGTCTCTATGTTGATATACTGAGGAGAGTGTAGAACTCCGCCGCACAACTACTACCCAACTGACTCCAGAGAACTGAGCACTCTTCATCTCCACCGCTGCTGCTGCCACTGCGAGGCTCCTGCTGGGGCATTCTGTTGTCCTGTACACTTGTTTTGAGTCACATCTCTCGTCAGCTTCTCCAGCAGGCACAATCACTTTAAAAACAAATCTTTTTTTTTTTCATTTTCATGCTCCTCTGCTTTTGATTAGGGCAAATCGTATGAATTTTGAAGGCAATCTGCTGTAATTGGAGATTGTGAGTCTCACAGCAAAAGGTAATTATCACTAATTGGTCTGTGGAAATGATTACAGCAGTAACTTAGTTTACTCCACGCCCCAAAAACAAGACCTGGGAATGAAAGGAGTGGAGTAAAAAAAAAAAAAAAAAAAACTAAAGACGTGACTATTTACTGTTCAACACTCCAATTACACATTGCTAAAGTTAAAAGACTCCGCTGATGACCGCTGGCATCGTAATAAAAGAAGTGGAGAACTCTCATCATGTTGATTTCATTTGCCTCTGCTCATCTCTTACTTGTTGGAAATTACAAGGAAGACCACATAAACTAAGCTGTAAAATTTAAATGATATTACAGTTGCTTGAAAAGGATTCAAAACTTGCATCTGTGAGACGGGACAGAGACGGAATGTGACCACGCTGATCAGCAAAGATCTATGAACAGCATATATTAAGATGTTACATTCTGTATACGCATGTGTGTGTATGACAGCGAAGAAGACAAGCCAAGTGACTCACCTCCTGCCAGAAAATGAAGACATACAATTAACATCGTATCCCATCATCCTCAGCTGAGCGGGCAGGCCTGTAATTGGCTGGCTGACCAGCCTGCGTGGCTCCGGGTGGCAATTTATTCTGGGAGCCATGCAGTTTACCCAGGGCGGCTAACGGCCCCTGTGCCATAACCTGGCTGAGGCAGCGGGGACATCATTAACACTTCACTGGGCCTGCAGGACACACACCCATCATCAGCCACTATACACCACCCACAGCCACTAGCACATGGGGCAAATTGGAGGAACAGGGTAGAAATAATAATCAGAATGTCAATGAGCCACTTGTAGTGAGTGTGTTTACTGATCAGCTGGCAAGTTAGAATATTTTTGGCATTTCCGCGTAAGGAGGAGAACACTGTTTATCCAGATTACCTTTGATTATCATTTTGAAATGAAACAAAGGGTATCCTTGCCGTGAGCAGATTTGATTTGGGAATTCAGCCCCTGTGTTGTCTTATCTGACCCTGGACTCTGAGTTTATCTGTTTGACACTGTGTGCAATGGCATGCGGTTGTCTAACCCCAAAACAATGTGTGAGGGAGAGGGTGCTCCCTAAGCGGAGTAATGACCTTGCCTTGTCACAAGGAAGACATGTGTTACACGCTCCCACATTGGTCCGAGGGAAAGACTGTTACAGAGTCAGTCTGGACTCTGGTTTATGTGTCCGTTTAAATGTCTGCATCTGCTGTCTGGCCCTCCACCTCCTCGCCGACCGGCTGTCTTTAGGTGTGAAAGGAGGAGGCTCACATGGAAGGCTGCATCTCAGGAATCACTTTATGGGTGTAAGAGGTATATGAGGTGTCCTGTGTAAATCATGGTTCTCCTCAGTGTTATATAGGTAATGTAGTAATGTATGTTTTCAGCCTGGGTTAGCACGGTGAACCCCACTGATTTCCAGATATGTCTTCCCACAAGTGTCCTCCTCGTGTCTCCTTCTTGCCTGCGATATTCCCAATTCACTCATTTCCTATCTCAGGACTCTTCCTTGCTCTCTGATTACACACACACACACACACACACACTCACATGCACGCACACAGGCTCACAGCCAAATGGCTGTTCATTAAAGACAGGGACCTGAGGGGAAGCAATCGTCTGAGAGACGGAAATTGCGTGTCACATTAGATTAGCAGTGTAAAGCCTCTGGATTGGCTCGGGGGAATAAGGAATTATTTCAATTACATTATTTCAAAAAGTCTTTAAGCAATACCAATACCGATAAAAACAAATTAAGAGTGATTTGGGCTGATTTGTGGCGCTCTGAGCTGTGCTTTCTGACAATGTGCTGGAAATCAGATATGAATAATGCAGATATTACCCTACGTGTAATGTGTTGGAGTTGAAAGCAGATTATCTGTGACAAATAATGCCATTGGTTTGCATTGTGTCTCATCAAAAGGGAATGTTCACAAGTGTCAATCACACGCCCGGAGACTGTAGGGTTTTTCAGTGAGCCACCGTGGAGAGGATAACTCCATCACCTGCCATTCTCAGTAACAAAGCAGTGACACCAACACACACAGTGAAAGTGATGAGTAGGTTAACTTGTGTACCTAATGCAATGGATATAAGCTGAACATAAAGTGCATGCAAGTCCTTTCTAATAGATGGTGTAATCCTTGTGTTTACAGGTAATTCCTGTAAAAGTTATGATGTGCAATAAGATAGTGATCATAATAAGAAAGAAAGTTATATGTTCAGTTATATGCTCTGACACCTCTGTGGCACAAAGTTCTCTTGTTCCTCTCTTTGGCAAAACTGAATATTTTCCTTTTGACTCAATTTCACTAACACATGCAGCGAGGGCAAGAAATTGACTGTGTCCATCGCAAGCAGCGCGTCTCAGGGGGAGAGAGCAGGGGGTGGGTGGGGGTGGGGGGGTTGAGGCTACAGAGAAAGAGGGCAGGGAAAGAGGGAGAGGGGTGGAGGTGGGGGATTGTCACACGGAGCGCATGAAGGAGAGACCGACCCGCAGCCAGTCCACTCACTGATGCCCTGATCCAGCCCCAGAAGCGACCGACTCCAGCTCCTCCAAACTCCGCACAGCTCCGCGGTGACTCACTGCTGCTCAACACTCGCAACATCTGGAGCAGGACTGGAAAAGCCGACGCTGTCTGCAGCTGCACGTTTTTCTTTTTCGTCTTCTTTTCTCTCTTTCCCTGCGCGATCAGGAGAAAAAGTGCCGCGTCCTTGAAATTATAAGTTGAAAGAGACGGAGAGGAGTTGACGGCGAAACAAATCTTGCTTCGAGTGCGCGCGGTAAGTGGCGGCTGATGATGACACAAGTGATTACAGCTTCATTTGTTTTAATTGCTTTAATTGGATATTTGATTGCCGTGTGTTGTGTCGGCTGTGGAGCTTTGTGGTAGTTTTTTCTTCTGAAGTGAGGGAACTTTGTTGCTGGAAAACTGTTGTGTTTGAAACCATGTGGAGACTTGGAGACAATTTGGATTCTTGCGACATAAGAGGGTGAAAGCTTGACCTGTGCGCTGTAAGACTGTGAATTGTCGCTTAATTGTCACTTAATTGCAAAAAAATAGGCGATATGTATTTTCATGTTCAGGTGAAGTGTTTTGAAGTTGAGTTAAATCTGTCGTGCGTAAAGTTGGTGAATTTCACAGATGTTTAAGTTGATAAACTGTAAAAAGGGATTGATGTAGTTAAAGAAAGGTGAATCACAGGGCCCAAACTTTCCTGTCTTATTTCGGCCTTTTCTCAGAACTAATGCCAATATAATTATTTTATCAAAATTCACTTTAAATAGCAGGAAACCAGCTAATTAGACGAAGCTGTTTTTCCGATTCTAATATGTGACCCATAAACATTTATCATATATTTTAAATATGCTACAATTAATTAAACTTTTTTTGTGAAGATATATATTTCAGAAAATACATGTTGGGAAACTTGGAAATGCTTATTCTGCTTTACAACTCCCACCTCGATTTTTATTTTATTGGACCCAATTATTTACAATTTACTGACAATTAATTCCTGACTTATAAAAAAAGAAAGAAAAGGGAGGAATTTGTCTTTTTCTCTGAACGTGTTTGGAGGATTTTCCAAAATCTAATTGCTTTTACTTCACTATCAAATTTATCTCTTGCAGGCTTCGGCTACGTGTGTGTTTTATTGTCAATTTATTCCGTCGTAATTATTTACAGGCACAGTAGGCCTCCTCCAACCCTTTTCTATTGAAATTAGTCCAAAACTGTAATCGTAAAAATGCCTCCAGAGTTGCAACTGGGTGTGTTTTTTGGAATTTGAGATTGTGAAAAAATCACTCTAAGCTTAACAAAACTAAATATGCTCTATGTATTTTTTCAGACTAAGTAAAATGTGTATTTCTTATTAAGTCTGCTTAAGTTAATTAATTATTATTATCCAATAAAAGAGCTTGAAAATGATTACTTTTTGTGTGCCATGTTTGAAAGAAAAAAGAGCCTCCTCTGAAACACTTTGTAATTTCATCTCATGCCTTCTTCACGCCTCATCTCAACGCTCTGTGTGTTCTCTCCCTCTCCTCAGCACCACTAACAGGGAGGTGAATGGACCTCCACCGCCCCTTCAAGATGGACAGCCCCTCCTACCTGCCAGCTCCACTGGCCTCCCCCGCCCTGATGGTCCTCGCCTCCACTGCCGAGGCCGGCCGAGATGCCTCCGTCCCCTGCCAGGCGCCCAGGCCCTTCGGTGTCCCCGCCTCTGTGGAGAAAGACCTCCACCTCCCCTTCCCCTCTGCCTCTTACACCTTCACCTCTATGTACCAGCGCCAGGGCCCCATGTCGGGCACCTTCCCCTCCCGAGACTTCCCAGCCTCCCTGCTCCACCTGCACCCCCAGTTCACCCCACCGAATCTGGACTGCTCCACCCTGAGCATGCTCAACCACAGCGGGGTGGGCGCCTTCCGACCTTTCTCCTCCCCGCAAGAGGAGAGGGAGTCGGGGGTTTACCAGTCGGCTTTCACCCCTGCCAAGAGGCTGAAAAGCTGCTTCCCGGAGGTGGAGGGGAAGGAGTTTGACTTCGGCTCCCCGGGAGGCTCCCTTAAAGCTGGGGAGGACTCAGGGAGGAAGCTGTTCTCCATGTCCGGCCTGCTGTCTGACGGAGAGGCTTCATCGAGCCCCGAGGAGCGCAAAGAGCACAGTGAGTACACACTTGACTCGCAGGGACACACAGCTGATGCATGTTTTGGTATGTAAACATGCATGGCACGTCTAAAGCTCACACACAGTCATCTCTCATCTTTAAAGTATGCAGTGAAATATACAGAGGCACATCAAAGACCTTGCTCACCCTGACACGACACGGCAGATGAGATTTACATATCCTCTACAGCTGCATCCACTAATGGTGACAAATTGAAAGGCGCCTTTGTGAGCAAAGACGTATCTGGAAATATTTTCCCTTTTGCACTCTAGTCTTTATAGTCTAGTTGGACAAAGTGTTTTCAGCGACTGGCTGTGACTGACTTTGACACAAATAAATTGAATAGTGTCACTTATTCAGCTTAGTGATCATTAGCCACATATGACCATTAGGCCTATTGGAAGTCAGACTTTTCTTGGCGGCTGAGGAACACAAATACATCGGAGCGTGTGGAGGGTTGACATAGGAGGAGTGAGAGTTGGAACGAATGACACCCTGTCAGAGATAACGAGGTGGCAGAGATAGAGAGGAAGGGATGGAGGAGGATAGAGAAAAAGAGAGAGAGAGAGAGAGAGAGACGCGGCGATGCGCCTCAGCCTGAGCTTCCCAACGACAACCCTCAGCTCAATATGGCCGCCCACACCAGCCGTCTGATTTGTTGACAAATGAGTGGGAGAGGTGTCAGTCAGTGCGCCGCGGAGGGAGAGCCGCTCCTCATTACTCCCGGGGATAATTGCCCAACGACGCGGGGGCACAACACTCGCCTCAGAGGGAGAGGGGGTGGGGAGAGAGGGAGCCGGAGTCAGGGAGGCAATGCTAGGCATGATGGGAAATCAAACCCCCTCAGTGGCGGTCGCCAAGGGGAGCGCCTGACAGATGAAAGGGACCAGAGAAAGACAGAGAGGGGAGAGAGAGCACCCAAAGGCTCAGCAGATCAGAGGGGGACACCATCGAAAATAATGACAATGGGGGGGGGGGGGCAGAGATGGAGAAGGGCGAAGGCAGGAGGGGGAGACGCTGATACACGCTCTCACACATATCACCTAAAGGAAACTTTCATCCCACACATAAAGGGCGGGAGCAGGGACGAGTTGTCTTAAGAAAAGTTTGGATTGTGTGCCGTGTGTGTCTCTATGCATATGTGTGTGTCTTTGTTGAAACTTGCTGATTTTGTCGCCGGTTGGTGGCTGAGTGACAGGGCCAGGGAGGCGGAGTGGCAGGAAGGAATCTCAATATGGAATTTTAATAAGGACGGGAAAGGAAAGAGATGCCAGCCAGCATGCTGGTGTGAGAGGTGTGTCTGTCTGACAATGTTTGCTCAGTGCACTCGTGCATGCGTGCTCCCCTCACCTCCTGATTTTGGGAATCTCATTTGGGGAATGTTGACAAGGACAAAAGATGGGCGGAATAGAACACGGGGAGCATCTCTCCACCAAAAAAATGAGTTTGGGAAAAAAAATGGATTTGTGCACATTGGAAGCTGCTTTTCCAGCTTTATCCAATTAGATTGGAGCTCAGGCAAACTAAGAGCTTTAATGCAATTGAGCTCCCAGCACTTTTCTAAGTCTGACATACACTTGTTCCTCTTGACTGGGTAACAGACAGTCACTTCAGGACCAAAAGTCTTAACTGTTAAGCTTGAAATCTTCTTGGGTTGTGAGAGTGTGTCTGCTGCTCGCATTCAGCTGCAGCACTGGCGATGCAAATACCCACTGAAGTGCAAACTAAGCCATAAAAACCTACTTTTATACTTTTTAAGCTTTCTTCATAATTGAAACGACCTCCTGTGAAGGGTCACATGTGCTCCCCGTGTCTGTAAGGGCTTCCTCCAAGTGCTTTGGTCTCCATATCAGGTATTAGGAATGTGCCTGGTGCTGCCCTTAAAACTGGAGTCAGTCCCTGGACACTGGCCACCAGTGCTCAACTAAATACCTCCCAACAGCTGAAGTGTATTTGAATCTGGAGTGATATGATGGTGCTTATGTCAAAACTTTTCAGAGTAAACAGATTTGACATTTTGAGGCCATGACGTATAGTCTCCAGGTGTGAGCACAGGTGACCATGCGCTGCCGTTCCTCTCACAGCTCCTGGTCAGTCTACACACCATGTAGGTAGAGCACGTCTTCACATCTGCCAGTGGATGTCTCCTTCTGTCCGTTTAGCGCCTGTCCTCTGTCGATTTTGCCTCCCAGACTTGCCTCTGTTTTATCAGGGAAAGTCTGAGACGCACGGTGTGCTCTGACAGCTGTTCAAACAGCCACGCTCGCTTTCAAAGGGCAGATGTCTTCACTGGAGCGAGTCATGCTTATTTTCCTCAGGGAGATGCTTTCCGCCGCAGGCCTGAGCTGGAACTAAAATGGCCCTTTACCAGAAACACAAGTTGGGAAACCAGAGGAGTGGAGTGGCAAAACACAGCAAAGCCAGACGCTGACGGAGTGGTGTGCGTGCATGTGTGTGTGTGTGTGTGTGTGTGTGTGTGTATCATACTGTGGTGGCAAAGCTGAGTGAGAGCTGTGATAACTGGAGCCAGATGTTTGAGAGCCCCTGTGTTGTGATGCTTGTTACACACCAAACTCCCGGTTGTGGCTGTCAGGAAAGTGAAACCCTTCACCTGCAGAGCAGACAAAGAGATTCACGAAGGCCACCAAACAAAACAGATCAAGTCAACTGTTGTCCAACTGGCAGCCTAATGTATCAGTGACTTCAGTACAGCTTTCTCACATCCTCCTTTTTGTCTACTGGGCTGACTTGGAGCCAGTTTTAGAAACACAGTCTGTGAGCACTGCTTTTACGTAGATTGCAAATACTGTCGCTCGCAAATTTCAGTGTGGCTTGAACATCTCTTGCATGCTTGTGCACAGGTCACAGCAAATATGCAGTCAAAAAAGAAAATTTTCTCATGTTTCATCAAGTTTGTTTCCTAGCATATAACTGGGCCCTTAAGAACAGTTTCACACTCACACAAATGACACTGGCATTTTTCTTACATGTGAATTTGTCATGTTTTTTAATTATTATTGTTAGAAAGTCAGTCTATTGATTAGTTATTTCCTGTCATATGTTATTGGACAGCTGGCCGTCAGTTTTAGGTTTTGGTTTGTGACTTTTAACTTAATAAAAGTCTTCCTTTGTCAGCACTTGACATAACATTTCAAAATATTGCTTATTTAAAGATTATGCTCACATTAAAGCTTACACAGACAAGGAATGAGTCTGACCACAAGTATTTAACATGGGCAAAACTCCACAACAAAACCTGTGCATCAGGCCTTTGAATCCTGCACATGCCGCTCAAGTCTTCTCCTAACGGGATGAGGAGGCACTGAGAGACTCGCCAGATCTTCACCTGTGCAGGAAAGAAACCCTGCAGGAAGTTAATAGAGGGGAAACATGTAAGCGTAAAACACATTGAGGATTCTCTACCAGATGCGCTCAGAGTGTAAGTGTCCTCCACGGTCGGTTATTCATGGGTTGTTAGCGGACGAGTGCGGCGCCTGAACAGAATCAATATTACATAGATTCATCTTAGATTTGGCACGTGGATTATCTCTGTGCTGAAGTTTGATGGCTTTGAGCTTGTTCCGGACCCAGCTTACATGCTTTGTGTGTGTGTGTGTGTGTGTGTGTGTGTGTGTGTTAGAAGGAGGGAGCATGCCTGTGTGCACACGTTTAGACGGATGTGACTCAGAGCTTGTGGTCATTCACTCATTAAATCAGTGAAATAATCAAAATCATGCCGTTACACAGTTTTCACACACCAGCAAAACATGTTTGTGCATATTTCTTATGCACGTATTTGTGCACATAAGTTTGTATGGTATATTGATGTTTCTTTCTCTCACCCACACCCACATGCGCACACACACACACACACACACACACACACACACGCACGAGGCAGTATACTCTAGCTGTGTGTGCTGATTTGATAACAGGGAGGCTGCCTGTGCGCTGTGTTTTCTGTGTAGCAGTCGTTGACGGCCGCTCGTATTGAGTGGAGCTTCCTGTTGAAAGACACAGTGTTTACATCCCACTGGCAGGCCACAGGAGATCAATAGCAAGCACTCGATTCTCATGCATACACATATAGTATCCGTTGACTGCTATTATTCCCAGGGTGTATACTCCTTATCAGGCGGACTTGCATGTGCACTCCATGCATCAACAGTCGCACTCACCATATGCTTATGCCTAGTTGTTTTCTCTTTGTGTGTGTGTGATTTTGTGTTGGTGTGATCTGTCACAAGCAAACTTTAGTAGGGAAACTGAAGTATTGAGGAGGTGTAAACATGAACAACACGACTGAAAATGCTCGCTGCTGGAAAGACAGGAGGAAATAATGACACAAACAAGCATCTAAAATGAATTTAGACATAGAGAACATATTATTTTCATGTAAAAAACAACATTTGATCTGAGTTTTTTTCATCTTTTATCAAGTTTAGGACCAACACGCATTAATAAATCTTTTTAGAAACCGTTCGATAACTCAAAAAGATGAGCTGTGAGAGTCAAGATACATAACTCATGGTTCCTACTAATCATTTTTACAGCCACTGCCTCGTTCATTCTGCTTTCAAAGCTACGCTGTCTCAAATAAGTGACATCTGCACCCAGCTCTCTCACTGACCACACTGGTAGTCTTGTTCTTGATTTCAAACACTCGGGGAGGAAGCATTACAATATTAATGGTGGTTGTGTTTGATGTGAGAGCATGCCGCGGTTGACTGTTCCCCCTCCTGTTGTGATGGTAGTTTGTTCTCCTAATGTTCTCCCAAGTAAAAGAGGCTTTCATCCTGGCAGGAGGGGAAACTCTTCTTGGCTTTTTAGCTCCTTTCCCTTCATCTTATAAGGGCTGGAGAGATGGAGAGAGGGAACATGGAGTTTTTTCTTCCTTGTGTATTTAGATTTACGTGTTGTCTTTGTGGTTTTATACGTGATTGTGTATTTGTGGATGCAGTGTGCGTATATGTGTGTATGTTGCAGCCTCCATGCAG